CCCCCGCCCCCCGGCCCAGGGGAGACAGAGACATGTCCCTGGAGCCACTGGGCCTCCCCAGGTCCTTGATGTGCTTTCACAGCCTCGGGTCACAGGGCCAGCCCATGACTCAGTGAACTTGTGGCCACAGCACCCATCTTCAGCATGGTCCTGGGCTGGAGGCTTTGAGACGGGGTTTCTTTCTTTTCTTTTTTCTTGATTTTATTATTTTTATTTTTTCCCCATCACCATTTATCCAATCCATATCTTCTTCCACCTCCACCCACCCAAGACAGGGTTTCCCAACCTTTTAGATCCACATGTAGTTAACCCCATATCACACACCCCTGAGAATCTGCTTGTGATTCTTCCACCGTCCAAGAAAAACCAGTTTTACTGAGTGAAGTTTGTATTTTGTAAAGTTTCCCCCTCCCCCATCCTAAATAGAATAGAATAGGGGGGAAAATCTAGCCAACAAACGGTGCTGGAACAACTGGATATCCATATGGAAACAAACAAACCTAGAACCCTACCTCACACCATACACATTTGGGATGGATCACAGGTTTTACAAAGATCAAAAACCCTAAACTCAAAAGCTTTTGGAAGAAAGCATAGGAGAACGTGATGAGTGGAGTTACTTAGTACACACAGGCAACCACCAGAGAAGAAAAACTGACATATGCAACATTGCAGATGTTCGATAGCAAACACGTGTCCCCGGAAAGATCCAGACCTGCTAATTTTCTCCTCCTCCCAACGTCTCAGCCCGGAGGGCCTGTGCTGCACAGATGAGGAAACCGAGGCCCCGTGGGGCAGGGTCTGGTGCTGGCCAGCGGGTATTTGCCACTCCCAGCTGCCTTGAACCCAGCCCTGTAAAGGGAGCCCCGATCTTCCCACTGACTGGACTTCCATCTCTGCTGCAGGAAAGAAGACGCCACAGGCCACTTCCCGGCCATTTACCTGCAGAAGGCGGGGCAGGACATAGTTCAGGCCCAGCGCCAGATCAAGAGCCGAGGGGCGCCGCCCCGCCGGTGAGTCCTGGGGACTGGGGGCGCCGGGCGGGGCTCAGGAAGGTGCACCACGGGTTCCCTCTGTGGGCCTTGGCTTGGCAGGACTGGGGCAGGGGACACAGGGCTGGGTTCCGAGCCTGGCGGGGAAGGCAGCACCCTCACCGGGGCGTAAGAGAGCAGGGTGTGCGGTGGGGTAAAGGCATTATGTCTAGAGTCTCTGGGGATGGTCCGTGATGGCGGTGGCAGTCGGGGGGCTTCCTGGGGAGAGGGCCGGCTGAAGGCTGGTGAGGGCGTGGGAAATGGACCTGGGCTCTGAGGCCCCGCAAGGGTCCGCCTCCCTTTC